TCAGATTTATCATAATTAACTTCGTTTCTGAAATTCCATTTCGAATACCTTCAAATGTAACCACTCCATAAAGTCTCCTCTTCCTACCTAGGTCTCCCTTTACCCCCGGAAATACGTCGGACAGCAAAGGTTAGGGTAGAGTCTTATGCTGGAATTTTTTGAATTAAATCGAATTAAACCCGTTTTCGACGTTGATTATGATGAATTTGAAAAAATAAAGGGAAGTATGTGTATGTAGGTATTTCTTTTTTTTTTCCTTCTCTCTACTCAAGCCCGCAGCGAGGAGGATATAGGCCGTTATAGGTAGGTATAGGTCGGAATATATTAACGACGCTTGACTTCCAATCCGAATGTGTAGGTATGTTTGTATTGTGGCCAAAAGAACAGCGAAAGCGAAGGCGGCAAGGCAATGCACGCCGGCGAAATGACCGTTGGAATTACATCTTGGTATTGAATAATTGACCTTGATATCTTAATGTGTGTTGAGTACCGCGATGGGAAAAACGCAGACAGGATTTAGACGAAGGCGGCAGCTCTCACCATATGTTGGGTTGGATAGGTGTATTATGGTATGTAAAGGTGTTGGTGCGAATACAGTATCCCACTGTAACAGACCCTCTATTATAGCCAGATCCGTACCTTCCCTACCAAAGGTAATTACTTCCATTTACTTTAACTTCCACTTTCTACAAGTAATGACACATTGAGATGGTCCAGTTTCTCCTATCAAACAGGGCGTTCATCAATACATGTAGGTATTACTTTGTACTTGTACGAGTACTTGTAGATGTCTGTGGCTAGACTTGCCAACTGGTCTTCATCCAGGACAAGCTTCAAATATGGGGTTGGCTACCAGACCTAATTATACAAGTACATAGGTACTCGTACAGATGTGTTTGACAACTGTAGCAGCATCCAAAAACCATTTCTACTTGTAATATTGAGGAAATAGGCAGTTAGGTGTAGCTATATTGACCGTCCGCCTATCTTTCTATTAAAATACTAATATTATTGAAAGTATACACGTACCTACCCCTGGACTGATAGTACTCCCCTGGAGGGTCAAATGACGCGAGCCATCCTATTTTGGTCTAAGCAGTGCCCATTTACATAGCGGCCCTACCCATTAACGCGTGGTCAACGCGTTTTACCGGTGGGGAATCAATTAGGACGTACCTTGCTCGTAGAACTAGGTACTCCCTCCGATATCTCTTCTCTAATTTGCCCAAAACGTGACTTACCCGTCAACGTAGCCGGTGAACCACATTGTTGATATTCGAAATCGAGCTCGCCAGTATGCCAAAGCTGAGCTAAGCGATGAGCTCCAGTAGAAACAATTGAGATCGAATTGTTGAATTCCGAAATCCTACCCAGTATCGTTGCCGCGACAGCTACTTTGATCGCCTCATTGTCCGAACGACCTCGTGTTTCGTGTGCGAACATCGAGGATATAAACGACCATACCATCGTCAATGAGCCGGGCGCTCCATCTCACTCACCTAGATGCCGCTCTTTCCCGTGTCTCCTAACGTAAAGGAGCCAGAAGCAGCCAGTATAAAGAGATCAACCCACGGTTTAATAGACACCAAGACCTGTCAGCCTCCCGTCGATACGCTACAGGACGAGAACTCCGACGTCGCACGAAAATCCCCCGCTATGTCTACATCGACAGTAGACTGTCAGCCTCGTAAGCCCTCTATGCCCATATCCCCCATACTCTGTATATCTTTTTCAGTTCAACATTGTCCCTCACATTGTCTATTATCTCGCGCTCTTCTTTTTCATGTCACAGACCCATATAGTCCGCGCAATTCGTCGTCTAACGAATCTCTGCAGACTCAACAGAAGTACCCGCGACAACCATGGGGTCTTCACCACTTAGTAGCCCAGCAAGCATTTCAGACGCTGACTGCACAACACCGCCGAGAGAGTCGCTCTCGCCAGCCCCCTCAACGTGTGCATCACTCGACAAGATGGTAGCAACAGAGCCTACGCAACTCCAGGCCACTGATGCTACGACTACCGCGGAAGGCAAGAAACGGAAGTTGACAGCAATGGATCAGTCAAAGCAAGGCACAGAGAAAAAACAGAAGCAAGGGGAGACTGCGGCGGTAAAAGCAAAAACATTCGCCGAAAAAGAGGCTGCAAAGGCCGCCAAAGCCGCCGAGAAGGCCCGTGTCGAAAAAGAAAAGGAAGCGGCAAAAGCTGCCAAAGCGGCGGAGAAAGCTCGCCTCGAGGCCGAAAGGGAGGCCGTCAAGGTAGCCAAAGCTGCCGAAAAGGCCAAGGCGGATGCGCTGAAAGAAGCCAAAAGGCAGAAGAAATTGGAAGAGGAGCTTGCCGCTAAAGCAAAGAAGGAGAAGCAGCAGAATCTGATGGCTAGTTTCCTGAAGAAAGCTGCTGCTGCACCTGCGAAAAGGACAGATCAGCCGCCCGCCGCGGGCATTAAAACTGAGACGGCCAACCCTTCTGACGTAAAGCAGGAGGCCGAGACTACGAAATCAGCTTATGAGGTGAATTTCAAACCCTTCTTCGTAAAATCCGGAGTGACCATGGCAGTATCGCCGTTTGAAATGGACGACGAGACCAAGGAAGCCAAGTCAAATATCCTCGATGAGCATATCCGTGGCGAACGAGGCGAATTCAATGCCCCCTTTAATCCAACCGAGCTATTCAATATCGTGTTCCCGAAACAGCGAGGCATAATCCCACCTAGTGTTAAGAAAATCATGGAGGACATTCATGGAGATCCATTCCAGGTCTCGTTCGGCATCGGTTCAAAAGGCGATTCTCAAAGCGAAAAGCGTACTATAAATGCGCAAGACCAGCTCAATAACATACCGATGAAATACTTGCGTTTCCACGAAGATGTCAGGCCGGCATATTTTGGTACTGCGACAACGCACATGACATACCACAAACTTCGGGTACTCTCCCGCAGGCCTACTGGCAAGATGCTACCATTGGCGTATGACTATGATTCAGAGGCGGAATGGGTCGAAGATGACGGGGAAGATCTCGACGACGTCGAAGATGAAGAGGAAGACGTCGATGGTGACGAAGAGATGGATGACTTTGTGGATGATTCCGAAGCTGCTCCCACTATAGTCCGTCCCGGTTTCGAGGGCGATAGCCAGCCTGTCAGCACCGGTTTATGCTTCGAAAATGAAGGGCGCCTTGGGCCTTGCACCACAGTTCATAACTACCGCTTAGAGTTTCTCCTCGGTATGTCCTCTCACATATATACAATGCAGATCAGTGCTAAAGTTTTACAGATTCTCTAGAGCATCACTCGATGATAGATCCCTTCTCTACGGATTATTGGCCAGCACCGGCAAAGAAGCCTAAAGCGACTACAGCAACATCTGTGGCCAAGGGGACGATCTCTTCCATGTTGGCACCCCCCGTGCCCGTGCCACGAGATGCAGCAGTCCCTGTCACATCTGCCCCAGCCACGTTAGAGGGAAAGGATGCCGTCCCACAGGACATCCTCGAGGATTTCAAACGAGCTCTGATAAGTGACGAGTGCAAGGATTTTTCGAAAGCTACAGTCATCGAGCTGTTAGCCAAGAAGTTTACCAGTTGTACCAAAGCACAGGTGAAAGTGACGTTGGACACGATCGCCCACCGTGTCACTCCTCTCGGACAAAAGAAATCCGTCAAGGAATGGGCACTCCTGGACGCCTTTGCACTTAAGAAATAGGATGTTGAAATGGTCATGGAAGGGGGAGTTTAGGTGTACGACGGAGTTTCTGGAGGACCTTTTTCATCAGCGATACCACCACATCTAGAAAGAGCTTCATTGGACTGGAAGGCGTCGAGTTTGCTTTGTTAAAATGTTTCCAATTGTTTGTATCGACGCAGAGGAGAATGGGCGTTGCGTCCTTTTGAACTGTTCTATTTGCTATGGCAGCGTATAGGGAAAGCTTCGGGCCTATATTTGACGGAAAACCTCATGGAGGATGGGAAGGCACATATGACTATATCGTGCCCTGTTTAGCTTTCCGTTTACGTGTATATAAGACTCTGTTTTACGGGTAAAAGATCTCGGGCCATTCAGACCGAGAGACGATGTTTTAATGAAACCGAATGAACGATATTGGTGATGCTACTACCTACCTACCCTGCGACTTGACATGTAATGAATGTGATGTAATAATTTCTATGATGATTAGAGGGCCGTTACCGCCACCCCTGGCTTCACATCGTCCTATTTATAAGATGACACTCGGTTGCGGTTTGTTTTGTTTACCGCCCTCTAAACCCTTCTGGCTATGACATGGGATAACCATATTTTTTCGTCTCAGAATCTACTTGCTGAGACTTCATCCTACAATCTACCTTCTATCTCAAACCTCTACTATCCATGCAGACAGCGCCCGAGTCAACTGGATAAAGTAGGTACACATAACCTACCTCTACATAGTTACATCATACACTCTGGGCCTTGCCGGCAACATTACTTCCAAGTTACATTACTCAATAGACAACGCCACGATGCTTAACTTAACTTATATCGAGGTATCCATCCGACACGTACAAGATACATGCCACGGCTCGTTGCCGTAGGATACAGGGACTTGAGACTTGGTTTGTATGTATATACTCGTATTTTCCGTACATACATACATACATACATACCAGGTATTTACTTGTACGAGTAGACAAGAACACAAAATCCCTTGTTATAGCGAAAGAAGCAAATCCTAGACTTTGATATCACTACTTTTGCCCTACCTATCTCGAAGTTTATAAACCTCTTTTTTTCTTCTAACAGGCATAATAATTTCATCCCAGTTTAAAAAAAAAAAAAAAAAAAAAAAAAAAAAAAAAGCTACCTACTACCTATATCACCTTTTGCAACAAATAAATTGTAAACGCAAGAGCGGGAAACGGTATATAAAAGTAGGTAGTAAGGTAGCCAGACGTGCTAGAAAAGGAAACCAAACCCTGATATCAAAAGAAAACAATTGAAAAAGGAAAAAAAGAAGAAGAAAAAAGATCTCCGAATCAGGGAATCGAACCCCGGGCTTGACGGATCAACAAGATCACATGGTTCAACACTGGTAGAGAGAGAACAATTGTAAATGAGAGCGTCAAATGTTAGCCACTACACCAATTCGGATTAATTGGTTGATTGATTTGAACAACAGTAACAACGCTACATATACCAAGGTACAATAACAGGATAAGGAAAATGCAAAACAAACACATGTACTCCCCGGTAGGTACACATACATAATTTCAAGATTTGACTTAATATTTAATCATAGGCATGTCTAGAAATTGATTGTGTGATACGTATTTTGTGATAAACAAGTAGGTAGGTAGGTAGTTAGGTATTTAAAAAGAAGACTACCTAGATAAATACTACACCAAGCGTAATCAGACCGGATTCCGTATTGCTGTAGGTTAGACAAGTGATACCCTCAAGGCTCAAGACATAATTTTCTTCGCGGTAGGCATGCTTACATGTGGTGAATATTTACCTCTGGCTCCCGGGAGAAGGGGACGAGGCGGTCCTGATGATCACGACGTCCAAGTCTGCTGGGTTAGCTAAGATACTCCTCTCAGTCATACAGGTACTAATGGAAATGCCAGGTTGAACCTCACTTTGGATATACAATCCTGGGAAATGGCCGTTCCATTGTATTTTTCCCGTTGTCTCCTTGATAGCAGAAATATACGAGGCCTCAGCTATTTGTACATACAATTACTGGTTGCTGATGTCTGTCTGGCCCAGGGCTCGTCGGTTTTTTTCAACCCAACCCTGTGATTTACAGCATATGATGTATCAAAACATTCCCATCCTAAGTGCAAAACGAAGCCAGTCATGTGCTCACCAGGGGTATTGCTCGACTTCTGCTTTTTTTTTTTTTGTATCTGGCCTCGTACTATACCCGGAGGGTATCTTCTAGGGTTTGCCGTTTGCCCACTTATAGGGCAAGTCGGCAAAGTGTTGCTGCGTGGCCCCAAGACTATCCACCATTACGATCGTTGGTCGTCTTGTGTTGTTTGCCGAGTTTTATTGTGGGTGCGCTTCTCATTATGGTGATTTTGCGCCTTCTCACGTCGTGATTCTTCAATCATACTTCGCTGTTGCATGCTGGTATCATGACTCTTCCATTCAATTCGAGTATCCGTGGGGCATTTGAGGATGCGGCGCATTGTTTCACTTGATATCAACCGACGTTAGCACCGCCCATCTTGTCCGCGGGGTCATAGGGTTCACACATACCGAATCTTCAGGACCCTTTGTCCCGTGTTTCTAGTCCAGATGCTGAGAACATCTTCCCCATTGCGCATACTAAGCACAATGCCGCAGAGTTCATCAGATTCGTCCCCAAACTGGTCACCCACGCAAGCTAAGATTAGGTCTTCGTAGTATCGGTCCGCAACGCCCTTTTTGAGGCGCAGGATCCATTTCCCACCATGCTTGTTCTCTTCGTCTTCCCATATTGGTCTTACCCCTCCTTTGAACAGATGATAATCAGACACGGTGGGGAGTGACGATGGTCGTTTCAGGTGAGAGTAGGCCACCCAAAATTCCTCTACCGTCTTGATTGACATCATAGGGTGGAGGGTCTTGTCATACTCGATGAAACCATTTGCCTTGGTAATGGGCGGCCTATACCAGAATACCCATGTATCGCGGAGGGGATGCGGGGACAAGGTGGGAGGCTGTTGTCCTGTCTCGGAGATGGAAGACATGGACGGCTTGCCAACAGCCGTGGAGCGCATGGCCTCCTTCGAAGACTTCTCCGCCGACGGCGTCTTGGCACCAACCGCACCCATTGCCTGTTCAAAAGGATTTCCAGACGTTTTGGGTGTCTTTGCCGACCCGAACGACGCAAATGCGCCAGAGCCGAGGCCGAACTGATTGGCACCTCCCGCACTCGTGGGGGAGGCTAAAGCAGCCGGCGTGGTAGGCGCAAAGGGGTTGGTTCGGCCATGAGAGGACGTCCCGCCATTTCTTCGGGACAGGCTAGAGAAATCTCGAGGGGTGGTACTATCCGCCGAGCCCGCAGTACCAAGGGAGAGATTGGTGTTGCTGCTGCTGCTGCTGTAAGGTTGCTCAAGTCAGTAGGGTTGGCTACCACTTGGTGAGGCGGAGGAGGGGAATATGTACTTATTGCGACGAGTCCATATTGAAGATTCTTGTCTATTATCCATGGCGGGGAATTATCGTCCTCACAGCCCGTGGCCCGGCAGTATTGTAGGATATGAAACTTGGGCGGACCCCCTGGTTTCCTTTCTTTCAAGGCCGAGGCAAGTGATGATACAGTGCTGGATTTTTTGTCGATATGTATATCACTTGTATATTTCTCAAGTATGTAAATTATTCAAATCTCGCCAGGCCCGGGACTTCGGATATTATTTATACAAAGAGCAAGTAATGCAAAGAGTCAGGGTGCACCGGGTGGCAGCGATGAGGTGGACGGTGGCGTTTGGAACTGGCGACTGTGGTTTTCTGGAGGGTTGTGCGTAATGATTTAAGTTGAGGTTGAGCGACCAACGCACACGGGACGCCAGGTGGGCTTTGTACAATTCTGAACAAGTATACAGGGAGGATAAAGCGGCAGACTTTGGTGATACTGGCTTCTATGGGATGAAGTGGCGGAGTTGAAGATTTTGGTTGAGTCGATAGGGAAAGTTTTCGTTGTTGTAGTTAGAGGTAAGGTTAATTAAGGTGGTTCTGCATTGTGAATAGAGCTCGAAATGTTTTCAACCCGTGCCATCCTGTATTGTTTGCGCCGTCCAAGTCTCCAATGGCTAAGGAGGGTTAGACGATAACAAGGCAAGGTACCTGACCATATGTGGCACTGGAGGCCGATTGACTTGTACCAGTGGAACTGATCCAAAGGCGCTAACGAATCATTCACCACAGCCATCCAGCTTCGCATTGTCAGTGTCCATGCCGCTAGGTGCCTGCAATGAGCAGACAGGCAGGTAGGTACTGTTTTTTCAGCCTTGAAGCCTTCAAACCTTCCCTGTATTTCCTAAGTTAGGCGGTAGTTCTAGTGGCATACCTGCCCTCTCTTCTGATCTGACTTGTCACCTTATTGGGTAGGTCCATGTACGTAAGGACTGTTCCACGCTATGCTGTATATGGTCTAGCGGACGGGACTTCGGCGCACGGTGATGTACATTCCGAAAAAATTGGGGGCTCCATCCACACTACAGTACTTCTACTGCATTTTCTGCTTGGCCCTTCTTTTATTCTTCTTCTCTTCATTATGCAAGACCACCGACTCAAATCATCGACAGATGCTCGCCCATAAAACGGTACATTTCACGCTGCTGTCGATTCCGATGTGTGTGTCAAGAAGAAACCATCTTTTGCTTAAAACCATCATCACGAGGGCCCTTAACTGTTGGCAACCCATGATGCGGTGATGACCTACTGCAATGGACAAATATATGTGGACAACATGTGTGTTCTGATTTGCTCTTGCTTTCTGCCTTGACTTGAATGCGAAAATATATAGGATACAAGTTTTCTCGATGGCCATCTGGCTGAACAAACAGGTAAGCTCGTACATGACATTGTGTCCTTTATTTATTTCCAACTCCTTTGGCGGTGATGAGAGTAAATATGGTAATCTTATGGGCTCAGCCAGCTAGACTCTCAAGCCCAAGTTGAGAAATGTCGATGCCGTGGTTGAGCTTGGAGAAATAGGCACTTATCTGAGCATATTCTCTATTTGACAATAAAGAAGAAAGAAAGAGCCAGAGAGCTGACATTGCCCCAACCATAGGAAATGATATCGCCGTTCTCTATATTTTATCTGCTTAATATAGGTAGCTAAGGCAACTGTACAGCAAAGCCTCGTAAAAGCACTTCGCCTTAAGGAAGAACTCCTAGTCTACTATCAATGTAAAACTACCTAGGGTTAAACAACGCAAATATTCCTGTTATCAAAGGGCCACCCGTCTGCTGCTTAGATTGACTTGCGCCTTGGACTAGACAATTGCTCCATTGCAAGTAAATATATATAGCATTTATCACAGGTCTCTGGCAAATGCAAGAGACCAACTAAGATGGACTACGAGATAGAACAGAAAGTTTTGTATATTTCCTAATATGTGGTGATTTGTAATTTGTAACCATGATAGGTATTTGCATTCCAGTCATCTGATGATCTCGAGGTTGGGTCATTGTTTTATCTATCGTGTTAAGAAGCTGGGGCCCTGGATCACCATGGGCAACGGGCCAAATCACAGACATTTCAAGGTTGAGCGGAGACACGAATCAAAAAGGCAACGACCCAAGGTCAAGAATGATATTCACAATCCAGACCAGGTAGGATTCCCCCTCCTCTTCTGCTAAACGCTCTACATCCCCTCAATATTCTAACACAACCCAACTTCCTTTTCGTGCTCCGTAGGTAGACAAACACTACAAGGGGCACAATCATCCACCATCCAAAACTCCGTCGTACTCATCAATTAGGTGGTTGCGGCCATAATCTAGTTTCCGTATCTCGTTAAAAAGCTACTTGCGTGGCAACATTATAGCTTGTCCTTCGGACGCTTGCGGCATGCACCTAGGGTGTCTTGCATTCGTCTGAAACTGATGTTGCCAATTTTAGGTGCAATTGACCTACTGGTCTTTGCCCAAAGAATCGGCCTTAGCGCGAAGGTTGGCGGCAGTCGAGCTAGACTCAGGGAAGTACCGTCCGAGCATGGGTTGCATGAAGGATCGGAAAATAAGATTGGCACCACTAAGGAGTCGTCAACAGAGGAGCCAATGGAGAAGGGAACGGAGTCTCTCTTACCCGAAAGTGGGGAGCGAAAGCCAGAGCAAGAAAACAAACTTAAATGTGTAGTAGAAGGGGAACCAGTACACAACGCTGATGGCACTCTCAATCACACTATGGCCAACATGTTAGTGAATCTCGCAACTGCAAGAGGAATGCCCTTGGGCCAAAGACTTACGTGAAGAATGCGAAAACGACCCAGTACTGAGGACAGATATTCATATTAATAACATACACCAATGCTAGCGGTCATGGATTGATCGACTTACGGTAAGCCACTGGGTATCATCAGCTTTGGTTGTGCTGAATAAGGCGGCCAGAGAATAGTAGCCAGGGATGACAAAGCCCGCAAAGTTGGTCAAGA